TGACACAGCAAAGAACCCTGGTTGGAGTTCTGCTCCCTCTGTGGCCAGCAGCCTGAATTGCACTTCCATCACGGCCAGAGTGGTTTGCAATCCTTGGAAAACCCCTGGTTGTTATCAGGTCAGGAATTTACATGGCTCCCTTAGGAAAGACGATCCAAGTACCTTTAGAGACATGCTTTCTCAACTCAGTTACTGTAACAGAAACAATAAAGGTTATAAAATTATAGAACTATAGGGGCGCCTGGGTGGCTCAGTCGTTAAGCGTCTGCCTTGGGCTCAGGTCGTGATCCCAGGGTCCTGGGATTGAGCCCCGCATCGGGCTCCCTGCTCCGCGGAAAGCCTGCTTCTCCCTCTCCCACTTCCCCTGCTTGTGTTCCCTCTCTCGCTGTGTCTCTCTCTGTCAAATAAATAAATCTTAAAAAAAAAAAAAAAAGAATTATATAACTATAACCCCAAGCCCTGTGAAGACAGAGTGTGACAGACCAGCCAATCCAGGCCTCCCACCCCCTTGTTGGAGACTGACCCCGCCCACAGCTCTGGGTGCTATGTTGGCACCAGGACACTCTCTTGAACCAGCTGAACACTGACCCTGAATCTGTAAGATGAGGATGGGTGAATCGTCTGGAAAGATCAGAAAAAGGCACAGCTGGGAGCCAGGGCCCAAGGTAGATCAAAATCTACAAGGCACCTGGAGCAGCACAATCCCAAATTAGGACAGAAAACAGGGCCACAGAGGACAGTAAATGGGAGCACCCGAATTCATGGGGAGATCAGGCCCAGTATGTATATCCTATTTCCCTTTTGGGACTGTATCCTGAATTGGCATATTTACATAGACACATCAACAATTTAGTTAAACCTAACTTAACATTTCTGTCAAGTTCACTTTTAAGTATTAAATACAATATTTAATGCATGATTAATATTAATATTTAATACAAATATTAAATTTAGATGCATTTTTAAGCCTTTAAGAGGAGAGACAGTGGAAGTGACAGAAGAACAACAGAAAAGTATGTCATAGGGAGCAATTACCACAGCTTCCTGTGTAGGTCTTCTGAGAAACAGTCAAGGGGATGTGTGGGGAATGGCTCCCCATATACCTGGGGGGCTATGGCACATGTCGCATGGGACGTGGACGGCAAAACCCCTACTGAAGTAAGTACATATGTGAGCCAGGAGCCTTCTTTTATCCTTCTTGAATATTATAACATGGAAAGCAGACACAGAAGAGGTGATTCTGAACACTGAGGAATATGCAGTGCCCTAGACTGCCACACTCTGAGTTTGTTAAATTTGGAACTAGGCTGTCTGATAAACTACATCTGAAAGGTTAACCTGGCTGCAGGTAGTCCCTAGTGACCTAGTCTTTCAGTGTAGGTTGGTTCTGAATTCCTAAGTGTTGTGGATTGGCTAAAAGTGAGTTCTAGATATCCTCTTTGTGGCTGACCTAAGATTTTTTTCTAGAATTGGTCTTCCAGTCATTCTATCAGCTAGGTGGGTTTAGCACTTGAGGAAGGCATTAGAAGTACAGTGTTTGTTAGAATTAAAATTTGTCAACCAAGAGTAGATATCTATTATTAAAGTTTTGGTATACCCTCAGGAAAAGTTTAAAGTCTGAATTAAGCCAAATAGTTAAAGGTATCAGAATAATAAGCTTATTCTGTCTGTATTTCTAAGAAACACTAAAAATTACAATAATAAAATCCCTATTATAAATTTTAGACCATCACATATACATTGAAGACACTGTCTTTTACAATGTCAGAAAACTCATTTCTTTTACATAATTATAATAGAGTTAAAAATTCTGGTTTGGTCTCACAAAGGAAATTAGGTACAATTTTTATTATGATTAAATAATTTTACATTATTGGGGCACCTGGGTGGCTCAATCGGTTAAGTGTCTGACTCTTGATTTCAGCCAGGTCATGATCTCAGGGTCGTGGGATTGAGCATTGCGCTCCACGCTCAGCATGGAGTCTGCTTGAGTTTCTCTTGCTCCCTCTGCCCCTCCCCCACTCTATCTCTTTCCCCCTCTCTCTCTTAAATAAATAAATCTTTAAAAAATAACTTTACATTATTAAAATTAAAAATTAGGACTTCACTGGCCTGAAATAAAAATATTCTGACATGTTGATTCAAATTAAAGGTTATTTTTACACTTTCCTTTTTTGACCAGAAATATGATTTTTGAGACTGTACCTATTTCCCTCAAGATGCCTATGTGCTTCTTTGGTACACGCGAAAGACCATATAAGAGAAAGTCTTGTGAATTCACATAATGTAAGAAAAACCGGACACAGCAGGATAAAATGTGACCTCAGGACGTTAGACATTTTCAGCTCTGAAACTACTACAGGGAGCCAACAGCAGCGGTAGTTCTTCTGCCCACTGCTGACTCCCTGTGCATCCTTGAGACCATGAGTTTGGCTTATAATACCATCGGCCCAGAAAGGGAATAGACTGCCTTAGGGGGTAACTGAGTCTAAGACCTGAGGCAGGAAAAAAATCAAAACGTGTCTGGAACATGCTGTTGTTTTCAGATACTATTGACACTTTTAGAAATGTCAGAGTCCTGAAAGGACATTGGCATCAACATAATGGGACTTCCTATTGATCAAGTTGTGAGACTTTGAGCATCAAATACAAGCACAGCAAGGTAGTCATAACAAAAAAGTAGTTTGAATTTTTTAGTAAGTAGGGGAGTATTCATATTTTTATTTTTTTTAAGATTTTATTTATTTGAGAGGGAGAGGGCACAAGTGGTGGGGAGGGGCAAAGGGAGAGGGAGAAGCAGATGCCCCACTGAGCAGGGAGCCTGATGCGATGCAGGGCTCAGTCTCGATCCCAGGACCCCGGGATCATGACCTGAGCCAAAGGCAGCTGCTTAGCAGACTGAGCCACCCAGGCGCCTCTGTATTGAGTATTTTATTCCTTCTAATAATTTTGTCTGTTTACAATATTTATATATATAGTTATTTCCAACCAGGTAAGCATCAAAGAAAAAATACACAGAACTAGGAACTTGGCCAAACAATCCTAGCAGAGGTACTAAAATAAAAAATAGGGTGGATTTATTAGCATAAATAATAGGATGTAAGGTGAGCACAAATAATAACCACGTAGCAGGTGGCACAGGTGGTCATATACAATAATTAAGGAAGAGAGACTATTCAACACTGTATTTTAAAACATGAATTATTCAATGTCCTGAAGAGATAAGTTAACTACACAAACTAAATCCCTCATTACCAAGAAATGAAAGCTCTAGAATCAAGATTCCCCATAAGGAATGCAGCCATTTTAAATAATGAAAACAGAACAGATCAAAATATCCGAATGACAAGCCAAAAGGGTAGGCATTACCAGCCATGCAAAGCTTAATACATCATAACTGCAAAAGATGCCAAGTTTCAAGGACAAATATTTGTAAGAAGAGGAATAGTTTAACACACACACACACACCACACACACACACACACACACACACACACAAACAGCTCGGCAGGGTGACTCACAATTGAATTACCGCAGCCTACTACACAATCAGGCCAGACCGTGTCTAGACCAAGTTTCACCTAGTCAATAACCCAGATCCTCTCTTTTTCCTTCACTTCTGGTCAGACCACTGAAACTCAGGAAAGCACTAATACTGAGACACTGGGAATAGATCACGTTAAGAATCATATACTGGGAAGTTATTAAGTAAGTACGGAAATAACAAGAAATTACCCAAACCATAGTCTTAATGTTTTAGAATAGGTTGAAGGGAATGTGCAATAATACATTTTATAATCACTCCTTATAGATATCTTTTACCAGCTGTTTAAGGTGTTATTTCAAAAGACTATCCATACTACATTTGTACTCACAGTTTAAAATTTTTCAGAAAATTTAGCCAATTTTGCAATTAACGTTTAAATACTCAAGAAAATTTAGGTTTCCTTAATTTTTTTGGTATGAATTTAATGAAGCAATCCTTAAATGAAGTATCTATAGTTTTGGGTATTCTTCATATCTAAAAGTGCCTCAGACAATGAAAGCCTCTATTAATTATTATTTTAAAAATTCATAATTCAGGGGCACCTGGGTGGCTCCATCATTAAGCGTCTGCCTTTGGCTCAGGTCATGATCCCAGGGTCCTGGGATCGAGCTCCGCATCGGGCTCCCTGCTCGGCAGGAAGCCTGCTTCTCCCTCTCCCACCTCCCCTGCTTGTGTTCCCTCTCTTGTCTCTCAGTCTGTGTCAAAATAAATTTAAAAAATCTTAAAAAAAATTCATAATTCAAAGAGAAAGTCTGTAATTATGGAATCCTAACAGCCCCTGCTAGAATCTAAAGGAGGAAGTGATTTTAAAAGGACTTAAGAAAGACAAAGCTTGAGTTGTCCATTTCTACCCAACAGTCATCATTTGCTTGGTTTTGAAGGACAAATGAATCATAACTTAGTAGGAATCACATTTCCATATTAACCACTTGGGTAGATGCCATGATATATGATTGATATATGATTACTGCACATTCTCCTTCTAACTACAGGCTTTAAGTTGTGTTGAGGGTAGGTCTCCCAAAGGAACAAAGAATCGGAAGCACAGTATGTTAGCTCAAGAAAACAGAAAACTCAAAAGGTCAGTACCTCAGAAAGCTACAGTTTGACCAGCTGCCAGATCCTTAGGAATACCACGGAACTGTAAGGATGCCTCTCAAAGAAGGAAAAGCATTAGTCACAGCTAATCTGACACATGAGAATAAACACAGAGATAATAACAGAAAAATCACATGATTTTGGCAAATAATAAATATTCACACTGCACATCTTGGGTGAAGGAAAAAAATAGGAAAAAAACAACAGAAAAGAGTTCATCTAACTTGTTAGCTTTATGAAGGCTACCTTCCTGGCATTTGCTCCTAAGTGAATGGGAGAAGCAATCTTGGGAAGACCCAACTCCCAATTAAAAAAAAGAGGGGGGGGGGAACAAAACCAACCAAAAAACAAAACCAAAACAAACAAACATCTCTGGGAATACAAGTATTCCATCTGCAAAATTAAGCACAATGTCAATTACTTCAACTGCTGTATCACACTGCCCGGCATTGATTATACAACTTCGCAAGTCATGAAGATAAACCTGAAATTATAAAACCTGTCAGGAGAGCTGGTATTCAGAATGGTACTCAATATGGCCAATAGTTCTGTACATATATGGACACATGTCGATATCCTGAAGGTGCTGTGTGGAGCTGGGGAGGCTGAAATGTGACTAGAAAGCTTTTCATGATTATGGCTTTTTTCTCATTTCTTCATCCCAATCAAAATCCAATGCTTCGTCATCTAGTTCTGATAAAGTAAAGAGCGAGTTTTTGGAAAGAAGCAATCTCTCAGTGGACCCCTCCAGCTGAAAAGTTTTCCTTTCCCTGCCAAGCACTATAGCTGCGGCCCTGGGAGGAGGGCTGGGGCCTCTTGCCCCCTGGTTCTCACTTTCAGGAGGAGGAGGGGATTCTGATTTGGATTCAGAGGGGGAAGTAAAGGAGAAGTTGGCCAATTTGGCTAATGTGCAAGCATGAACCTTGCTGCTCTTATTATTGCATGAGACCTCTTCCTTTCTGTCTCTTTGACAAGTAAGAGGAGAATGCCCAGTCTGGCTCCCAAGCTTAAATTCAGGCTGGGTAACTCCTCCTTCAGGGCCATGTTCACTTTTCTCTCTTGATCTGTCTTCCTCCGGTGCCTGCTGGGACACTTCCTTTGCCTTACCCTGTGGCTGATTCGAGTTTCTGCTTCCTGAGGTAGAGGCCAACTTTTGTGGTCCCTTCCCAGGCAGAGCTGCTTCTCTTCTTGCTCTCTGGTGAGTTCTGGGACTTGGAACTGCTCCTTTAGTTGTGCCAGGAAGCACAGGACTGTGGTCTTCAGGGGAGTGGGTCAGTTTTGACTTCTGTTTGAAAGTAAATTTTGCCAGTTTGGCCAGGGGGGGACCTGGACTCTCAACACTTTCAAGCTCAGGCTCTTCCACCTGAGCAAGGGATTTCTGTTTCTTTCTTTTGGGAGTTTCCAGTGTTCCTTCAGGGCCATGGGCAGGACTGGACCGAGGCTGAGAAGGGCCTATGGGCTGTAAAGGCACCGTGGCGGGCCTCCTGAACAACTCCTGGGCGCTGGTCTTGCGCAGCTGGTGCAGCTTCCTGGAGACGTGATGAGTCAGTACTGAGTCCGGTTCACCAGCAGACCGTGCTACTTCGGAAATGATTGCTGCCCTTTTTGCCTCTTTCCCTTCAACATGGTCTGGCCTCGATGGAGCTTCTGTCTCTCCTGGTGCTGGAAGCTGTCCAGTTTCCAATTTGCTCCTTTGGCCTGGCTCACCCTTTACCTTACCCTGAGATTTGTTCTTCAAGTTTTGCAAAGCCATTTTCCCCCCAGTTGTTTCGGGAAATACAGGCACAGCGTTTTGAGGTTCAAGCTGATGAGTTGCTATGGAGTCAAACCAGTCCAAACTGTCATCTTTGCTATTTTTGTGCTCAGCGGAATATTTTCTATTTGTTGGTCTATCAGGCTCCCCATGGGATAGGGGATCAGGAAGTGGGCTTCCCTCAGGACTACGTCCAGGAGAGGAGGTCAGCATGCTACAGTTCACTTCCTGCTGTGCTGACCAGATTCTGGACTTTGATGCTTCTCCTGGGTCATTTTTGGAGGATCCTGGGTTAGTCTCTGCCTCCACTGCCTGTGGCTGGGATTGGTGCACACTCTGATTTTGTAACCTGTAGCAGAGATAAGTAAGGAAAACGTATTGAAGAGAAGAGAATTTGCGTTAACCTTTCCATTTCTTTAGTATCTGAGATGCCATCTAAAGGGCTTGAGTCCAACATAATTCCAAGTTAATGCCAAATATAGTCTCTTAGAGCAGCAGGAGGAAATTATCCTTTCTCATCAGTATAGAATTTAAGTGCTCTGATAATCATTTTAAAATTTAGTGAAACAAAGGAAATGAAGTAGCAGGTTTGTCTACTTTTTAAGCTCTCCCTACAAGTCCATTTAAGTTATTTAAGACTGTTTGAAGGTCAGTGTAAAATACTCATTCTCGTCTCTCCTGTTAAATGTTCTGCTACAAGACAGGCTTGTCGCTATTTGCACGGTGGCCAGTTGCTGATCAAGTGGTTGTTTCAGAGACAGTTTGCAGATCAGAAACAGAGTGGAAGAACAGAAATTATGATCTCCTCACATCTCTTTACCTGAGTACTGAATGTTAGTGCACCTAAAAGTCACCTTCCTTGGGCAGAGAGACCATGATTCCTCAGCACTGTGGCTCACACTGCCCTGCGGTGTCACGTGCACGGCACACGCCCTCCAGGCAGCTGGGATATCTTTCCTGCAAAGCTCAGCCCACGTTTCAGCATGTGCTCTGGGCAGCTACTCTCTATCAAGCTGACACAGAGGTGAAACCTACTGACCTCCTGAAATGAAGGATCTGATCAGTGATAATCATTTTTAATCTTGGGCATATTAGAAACTGAAATAATGCCAGAGGACCAATTTGTAACAGAGATGGTAGTTTCTCAAAAGGAGGTCCTTCAGAAAGCCCTTCCTAACAACTCAGAAATGGCTTCTCAGTATAAGGGGCAACATGACCCCGCTTCCATGTGTTAAATTTGAAAAGGAATTAAACCAAAAAGTGGATGAGTAAATTATTCTAAGTCATGTGTAATCATAGAAAAAGGCATAGAAGAAAAGACATTAAATTTAAATGCATTTTAAATTTAAATATATTTAAATACATTAAAATGTTAATGGTAGGCCTCTCTGGGAAATAAGATTATATGCGATTTTTGCTTTCTTAATTTATTACTGTTACTTTCCAAAATACTTTATAAAGAACATGTATTACTTCTTATGATCAGGAAAAAACCCGCAAAAAATTATTGTAAAAATACTGGGTTATATTCACTCACTGTAGATTTGGACACATCAATACAGCAAAATCCATATTCATTGTAGTCATAACCAAACAACAAGGAAAAAGAAATAGCTTTCAAAATTACTACTATCTGATATACATCAAACTGAGGTTAGGGATGGATATTCATAATTGTTAAAGCTCCATAAAAATGTTCTAAAAGATAGGGAATTTTAAAGGGGTAGAATAATTTAGCCCTACCATTTTAGTCTAATTCTGACTTTGGCAATTAAATTCTCCCCGACATAAAATGTCGGCAGTTTTACTATACATTCCTAAAACACAGCTTCTTTGCATTCTGTTTTCAGGTGGATACAATGGCCACCATTTGAGGCTGGCTGTCACTAGTAAGCATTTTCCAGAATAAAAGTGTGATAAAAATACAAATAGTTGTTTTACTCATATTTGATCCCCTTAAGGGATAGAGAACTCTTTCCTAAGGGGATAAACCCATATGCTACTTGGGCTTTTCTCACATGGTAAGACTGGCTTTAGATGTGTCTTGGAGGTCATTCACTTTCATTTGCAGTGCACCTGGTTTGAGGATCAACACTCAGAACATGCCCCTGCATTTCAAAGACGTCTATACCAGAAGAAAAGAATATTTTAAGATAGAATCCTTTTTTTAGGTCATTATCTATTCTTTTTTCTTCTTCTTCTTTCCCTCCAGGAGGGTCATTTTGAATTTGGTAAGTCCAACTGCTATTTTTCTATCACATAACACCGATTCTGAGCTTCGTATTTCTTTCCTTCCTGAATCCAGCATATGACAGCTTTTGGTAGTCCACATGACCAGTTTCTGGTCAGTCAAAATGAGCAGCTTCTCCAAAAGCCAAGCGAGCCCCAGGGCAGGCCTGAAAAGGATCCGCTACATCAAACCATAAAAGAACCGAAGGAATAGCTTTCATCTCAACACCATGCTCTGGATCATTAAAAAGCCAGGAGACCAAAAGGAAAGGGGGTTGATTTTATACAAAGGGCAAGATTACTGCAGGCTGGCACCTGGGTATTAGCAACACAAAGCCAGTCCCCACACTCCCCCAGGAAGGCTGTGTTGGCGTTTTGGAGTTTGAGAGAGAATGCTACTGGATGAAGGCAGTGAGTGAAAGGAGAAAAGCCAAGAAAAGAATTCTCAAGGTTTTACTTATTCAGTCAATAGTCCCCTGCAGTCCCCAAATTCTCCTTCAGCAGCTGCTCTGCTACCACATGTCTCCATTCACCAGCCCCCAGCTTGGAGGTCAATGCCAAGAGCCAGACTCAGGGCAGTCACTGAGCCACTTGCACTGATCACGAAGAGACCCAGTTGGATACCCCTGCCATTGCTCACTAATGTTTCACAGGTATACACTCAGAGTTTAGCTTTTTAGAAGCTCATGTATGCAGGGAGCATGCAAACATTAAAGTGGGGACAAAAATTCTTTAGGTAATGCACGTGACACGTTCCTTCCCATGTGTCCATATTTTAACAAATCATTAGAAAGCGGAGTTTTGAAACACTGCTTTTGTCATTCTTGAGTTGTTACCCTGTGGGATGAGAAATAGATTTTCCTCTTTAACAAAATACATCGTTCTCACTGGGGATTTTTTTTTTTTTAGTCTGTTAAATATGTAAAATTTTAAAAGTCATGACTTTGGGCCTGTAGGGAAGGAAAATGATGATGCTGAAGGGAGGGTCAGGGTTGTTGCCTTTCCCAGGTGAAAGTCAGTACTAATTATCTCTACTTCCCTAACTTTCCCTACATGTTAGCTTCGGCTGGCCTAAAGCAGTCTGGGCCTCAGTCTTCTGTGATTTGTTTTTTCACCAGGGTTATATAAAGAACAAATATTTATTATGCTTGGAGAAAAGCTTAAAAACATTAAGAATAAAATTAAAATATTAATAAACACTAAGATTCTTTATGTAAACTCCCTTGCACATGTCCTTTCCTGGCAAGGAAAAATGATAAAGCCAAATTATTAAAATATTTTGTGTCTGGGTCTGGCCTGGGGTAGATCACTTTCCTGGAGTCCAACTTCTTTCTTAACAGCATTCCCAGGCACCTCTCTGAATAGGACTGCTCTACTTCTCTTGAGCCAAAGAAAAGGAGAGAAGAAGTAGTGGCAGTAAACAGAATGAAGCCCATTTACCAAGATTTCTTGATTCCATGGAAACTGTGTATCTTCAGTGTAAACTGTGAGTAACCAAACTTGGTGCTTCTCATGTAATTGGGAACCAGTGGTATAAATTCAGTAAATTAATATATAGTTTGCTATATATAGGAAAGGACCAGCCAGTGTTCTCTATGAGGCTTACCAAACCAGCAAGCCAAGGCACTGTAGCTATGGAAGGTGGTCTCCAAAGATGGCAGCCATCAATTCCCCCATTCCTGTATTTCTACGTCACCCCTCCCATCAAGAGGTGGTGTCTATTTCCCCCTACCTTGCATGAGGCCTGATCTTGTGACTTGCTCTGACCTATAAAATGTGGCAGAAATGATGTTGTACCAGTTCTGGCTCAGCTCATAAGAGGCCTGGCAGCTTCCATTTTTGTTCTGTTGGAGCCTCAAGCTACTGCCTTATAGTAGACAGAACCCAGCCAACACTAAGTGGAGTGGAGATAGCATTCTCACTGAGCCTTCCTGAATTTCTGACTCTCAGAAAAGTGAGCACTAAAACGGTGGTGGTGGTGGTTTTTGTTTGTTTGTTTTTTAAGCCACTGAGCTTTTTGGTAGTTGATTATACAGCAATAGATAACTGAGCCAATCCCCCCCAGATAGTACAGACAGATTTTCCACTCAATTTCTACTTTCTTCATTTCACTAAATGTCCAACAAGGGTTTTCCATTATAAGCCTTTCTTGGATTTCTTTTCTCACCTTTCAAGTCTTCTTAGCTCTTCACTCAAGAGGTTGTGCAGCTCTAGCTTTTCCAGAATAAGTTCACACTGCCTCTGGTACTGCTTCAGAGGGTTTTCAGGAAAGGAAGTGTGGAGTGCATTCACCCCTCCTAGCAGTGCACCACCCTGAAGGGGCAAGAAAATGGAAATATAGTAGGGGGAATCACCAGGTCAACCTGCATCAAGGAAGCACCCACTAGAGACCGCTGCTCCCAGATCAGCCCTCTCTACCCCCATCTTGGTATCAGAATCACCTGGGGGCCTTTTTCAAATTTCAGCAGTTCTCTCCCCCAATTCCTGGTAGCAAGCATTGCTCCAGGAAGCCCACTGCCACTAGTGGGGCCATGAGCACCCCTCAGATGTGCTGAGTGAGACCCCTACTGTACACCAGTGGGCAAAAGCGATGCTACGGATGCAAAGGATATTCCCATGACAAGTTTTTCCTTTTCTTTTAAATGGTTTCCTTTGGATCTATATTTCCTTTGGATCTATATCTAGAATACGATCGTTTTTATAACTTCTGATATGCTATAAACTGTCTTTTCTTTTTTTACATGCTTATAATTAGGGTTCAGATATTAGGTGCTAGGTGCGCCTGGGTGGCTCAGTCATTAAGCGTCTGCCTTTGGCTCAGGTCATGATCCCAGGGTCCTGGGATCAAGCCCCGCTTCGGGCTCCCTGCTCTGCGGGAAGCCTGCTTCTCCCTCTCCCACTCCCCCGCTTGTGTTCCCTCTCTCGCTGTGTCTCTGTCAAATAAATAAATAAAATCTTTAAAAAAAGAAAACAAAAACAAATATTAGGTGCTAAATACCCTCACCTGCATTGAAGATTCCATTACTGATACCGCTGTAACAGCGTCTTCCAGAGTCACAGTGTCACGAAACATCAGGCGAGCATGAGCTAAGAAGATTAGGAAGACAGAAACATTTTTAATGAGTATTTGAAGTGATATATGTAATACTTTATCTGACTCCCCCGAAAAATTATATTTAATGAATTAGCTACTAATCACAAATTCATTTTACTAAAACAAGCACAAAAGTCTCATTTCAACTAGCTTTAAAGTTGGGCCTAATAAATAAAATAATGGGCCTACTCTTGCACAGCCCATGGCACTTCTGGGTATTTATATGAAAAAGTACTCTGGGCTCCAAAAAGAGAGGGGTTAGAGAAGCATACCTCTGATATTCAACACCTTTTAATCCTCATTCTCTTGTCTCTTACAGAAATACACAATATCAAACTGATTTCTCATCTCTGGGCTTTTCAAAACTACCAAACTCACCAGCTTGCATTTGGGGTACTTCTTGTCTTAATTTTAGCTATAAATCCTTGACAAAGTAAAGTGCATTCGTTTTATAGAACTTTTTATTAAGCATATATTCTGTCATCATATGATACATTCAGTTCATGTGGATTTTTTTTTTTTTTAAGAGTTATTTTAACAAGAGCTAAGTGTAAAAGTCACTCTTAGGAAAAAAGTCTTGAGATGCACGTTAGTTGTATGTATGCACGTAAGTCTCATGCCTTTGGGATGGGCTAGTTTCCTCTGTTAGTGGTGGGGTGTGAATAGCAATTAGGAAAAAAAAAACCAAGATGCTATATAGGAAACAACACTAAACAATAAAGTGTTCCACCCCAAATGCTAACAGACTGCCACTGAGAAACAAACATTAGTAAATAAGACTTTCTAAATGACTGATGTCTCTAAGATTCCACTTTCTTAATGATGCTACATTCTACTCAATACCCATAATCTGTCCCCAGAAGAACAGAGGTTTCATAGCTCAGAGCCTTTACTTTTTAGGTGACTATGAGCACCTTAGAGTAGAGATTCTTTTTATTCATCTTTGAATTCATGGTGCCAAGCTCCATGCCTTGCACATATTGGGCACCCAATAGAAGTATTATTTGTTGAATGAAATAAACCTTCTGCTAATCGGATCAAGCTTTCCAACAGGCGGATGGTGGTCCGGGCAGCATTCCGGGAGTCACTCTGCCTCTGCATCTGGTAGTACCGGAGAAGGACTTGATTACCCACGTTGGACAGCCTGGGCTGTAGATTCCTAATCAGGCAGAAGTAGGTTTTCATCTTTTCCATGCTCCAGAGCTTCTTTGATTTGCTTGGGTAACCTGTATGTATCAGGTGCTAGGTCAATAATTTCTAGGAACAGACAAACATCTGCTTTAAGGGTTTTGATAAAGTTCTTACACTCATTTTTAAAAAGATAACTTTCAGGTTTGTGGGCACTGAAACCTAGATCTGACTCTGCATAGCATATAGTTCAAGAATAAGTAGCCTTAGGATCTAAGCTCAATAAAGGTAAACTTCCTACAGGGGCTAAAATTATCCACAATAATTCTGGTCTGTCCTATAGTAATACATAGTATTTGAGTAAATCTAACTCAAAGAGAAACTTACATTTACAGATTTCTCTTTCATAATTCAGTCCAGTTTTCTTTGCATGAAAGAGATGAGTGATAATTCTATATCATACGGTTGCCCCCTTTCATCACAAAGAACATATTCACTGGCTGTAACACCATCGGTAGGCCCTTTCCCTCCTGCTCGTTATTCTGGGTGCACTAAATGGCTCCCCTGACAGCCTTCTGTGCAAGCATCTCTACTGCCACTTAGGTAGGGCGCCTTGGGTATTTACTTCATTTTCTTCAAAGAGAATTTCATTTGGTTATGTCTACTTTTTCTTGGTCAACTTGAATGATTTATCTCCACGTACCTTTGTTTTCTAAGATAAAGGAGGAAATTATACGATCCCAGTCTTCATTCTTGGTATCAAGCAAAACCAGGATCAGATCAAATCGACTTAAGAGGGGGCTGCCAAGGGCGATGTTCACGGACACGGACTCATGGGGGTCATACTGGCCTTTGGGGTTAGTTGCTGCCAGGATGGTGGTCCGTGTGTTCAGCTTGCACACGAGGCTATTAAAAGAAAGGGTACAATTCACTGACTGTTGAGATTAAAATAAAAAGCAAAATTAAACTTGTTAATAAAAAGGGGCTGCTCTTGTACCCTGAAAATCTAGACAGACTTGTGTGAAAAAGGATGTGGAATGATACAGGGACATATCACAAACATCAAGTTCGAAGGAAGTACACTTACAGTAACCTATCCTGAATAAACACTTCTTATGCCCCTACTATGAGCAGACCCCTCTGCTGGGTGCCAAGAGGTATACAAAATTAACTAAACATGGATTCTTCTCTTAAGGAGCTTGTAATCTACGAGCTATAATGGTAAGAGAGGGAAGTATATTCATTTATGTGGATGGAAGAGATGATTAGAGAAACATTACCAAGTAGCTTTTGAACTGGACCCTTCATAACATCTGGACTTTTTTTAAGTGGAGGTAGATAGGTGTGTGTATATCTACACACCTACATACAAATATACACACATATATGCACACACACAGATTTGTGAGAGTGAAGGTGAGGGGCAGGGGTAAGGGTTACTTGGAGAATGGTAAGTGGTTGAAGCAAAAACTTCCTGTGTGCTCGCTTCTTTTGATTTTTCTAAAAGTGAAAGAAATGACTCAGAGAGAAGCGGGGGTGGGGGAGGGAGGGAGAGAAACAAAGGAAGGAAAAGAGGGGGAGAGGGGGAAAGGAAATCAGGAAAAATAAGGATTGATTAGCATCACGTCTTTTGTTTTGAATATAGTGGACACACAGTGTTATATTAGTTTCAGGTGTATAACTTAAGTGATTTGACAAGTTTATACATTATACTATGTTCACCGCAAGTGTAGCTATTATCTGTCCCATTACATCCCTACTATGATATCACTGACTATGTTCCTTATACTGTTTTTTATTCCCGTGACTTACTCATTCCAAAACTGAACTCATTCCCTCTCCCTTTCACCTATTTTCCCCAAATTCCCATCCCCCTTCCCTTTGGCAACCACTAGTTTGTTCTTTGTAGGTATAGTTCTGATTCTGCTTTATTTTCTTTAGATTTCATTTATGAGTGGACTCACATAAGGTATTTGTCTTTCTCAGTCTGACTTATTTCACTCAGCATAATATCCTCTAGGTCCATCCATGTTGTCTCAAATGGCATGATCTCATCCTTTTTTATGGCTATGTAATGTCTGCGTGTGTGTGTAAACATACACATCATATTTTCCTTATCCATTTGTCTATTGATGGACACTTAGGTTGCTTCCATGTCTTAGCTGTTGTAAATAATGCTTCAATAAACATAAGAGTACATGTATCTTTTTGAGTTAGTGTTTTTGTTTTCCAATAGTGGAATTATTGGACCATATGGTGTTTCTATTTTAATTTTTGGAGGAACCTCCATACTGCTTTCAACAATGGCTATACCAATTTACATTCCCACCAAAAGTGCAGGAGGGTTCCTTTTTCTCCACATCCTCACTAACATTTGTTGCTTCTTATCTTTTTTATTTTAGCCATTCTAGCAGGTGATATCTCATTATAGTTGTGATTTGCATTTCCATGATGATTAGTGATGCTGAGCATCTTTTATGTATCTGTTGGCCATCAGTATGTCTTATTTGGAAAAATGTCTATTCAGGTCCAGAAAATCCTAAAGAATCCACCAAAAAGTACTAGAATAAACAAATTCAGTAAAGTGGCAAGATACAAAATTAGTACCAAGAAATGTGTAGCTTTTCTATACACTAACAATGAAATTGCATAAAGAGAAATTAAAAAAAAAAAACACCATTTACAGCTGCACCAAAAAGAATAAAATACCTAGAAATAAGCTTAACCAAAGAGGTGAAAGACCTATACTCTGAAAACTATAAAACACTGATGAAAGAAATTGAAGGTGACACAAACAAATGGAAAGATTTTTCATGCTCATGGGTTGGAAGAACAAATACTCCTAAAATGTCTACACTACCCAAAGTAATCTATAAATTCAATGCAATCTCTATCAAAATACCAACATTATTTTTCACAGAACTAGAACAAATAACAAAATTTGTATGGACTCACAGAAGACCCCAAATAGCCAAAACAATCCTGAGAAAGAAGAACAAAGATGGAGGTATCACAATTCTAGATTTCAAGATATACTACAAAGCTGTAGTAATCGAAACAATATGGTACTGGCACAAAAACAGACACATAGATCAATGGAACAGAATAGACTCCAGAAACAAACTCAGGAATTACATGGTCAGTTCATCTATGAGAAAGGAGGCAAGAATACACAATGGGGAAAAGACAGTTTTTTCAATAAATGGTATTGTGAAAACTGGACAAGACTGAAACTGGACTACTTTCTAATACCATGCACAAAAATAAAATGGATTAAAGACCTAAACATGAGACCTGAAACCATAAGAATCCTAGAAGAGAACATGGGTAGTAATTTCTCTAACATCAACCATAGCAACACTTTTCTTCCCTCCCTCCCTCCCTCCCTTCAATAGATTTTATTTATTTATTTATTTATTTGAAAGAGAGAGTGTGTGTGCTTGTACAAGCAGGGAGGAGGGGCAGAGGGGGAGGGAGAGGGACAAGCAGATTCCACATTGAGCCCCTAAAGCGGGGCTCAGTCTCAGGACCCTGAAATCATGACCTGAGCTGAAACCAAGTCAGACCCTTAACCGACTGAGCCACCCATATAGCAACATTTTTCTAGATAAGTCTCCTAAGACAAGAGAAATGAAAGCAAAAATAAACTATTGGGAATACATCAAAATAAAAAGCTTTTTTACAGCAAAGGCAACCACCAAGAAAACAAAAGACAACTTACTGAATGGGAAGAGATGTTTGTAAGTGATAAATCTGAAGAGGGTTAATATCCAAAATATATAAAGAACTTATACAACTCAGCACGAAAGAAACCAAACAATCCAATTAAAAAATGGGCAGAGGACCTGAATAGTTATTTTTCCAAAGAAGATATACAGATAGCCAACAGATATGAAAAGCATCACGTTTTTGAGGAGCAACAGTGAAGGGCAGACTGAGGAGATCTGGGCACCATGGGCAAATTAGATGGGGAAAATTGTGGCCAGGATGCATGCAGAAGATGGGGCAATGGTACAGGAAGAGGCACACATGTCCTGAAAGAGCAGTGGCACCGCGGCTATGGCTACGCCATAACTTAGATACTGTTTTTAAACTTATTAATGATGGGCAAGTCCCTAAAATAACATGGCATATTCATTAACAATAACAAATGTAGATTCTTTTCTCTCTGCAAATCTGTATGCTCTCCATTCAATGGCCGTTTTAGTTATAGTGGCATGTCTGCCTCTCAGCAGTCACAGCCCCATGACATCCGCAAACATGTGCTACATTTGTTAATGTCTGATCTATTTCCAGTTGGCTCTAGTGATCAGCCCATGCCCTAAGACTGAAAAAGTCTGAGAATCTTTACTTGTGGTAAATGGCACAAGAAGACACTCATCAAAGAATGACAAACAAGGCACCAAATCCCCCCTTTAAAACCAAATCCCCTTTAAAAAAAATTACTGAAAGGGAAAAATTCTGAACAGACGGTCTATATCTTATGTAGATCTTATGTAGACCAAAATGGCTTTATAAAGGCAGGTGTTTAGAACGTGGAATCCAGTTTGCCAAAAACAATGTAGTAAATTGCTCCTAACTAATGCCACTAAACACATTTAATCCATACTGAAGTGAGGCTGCTTGCATTTATCATGGAAAAGGACTATTGCTGGAATACTGGCAATGAAACAAAATAGAACTGCATACAAAGTGATTTTTTAAAAAAATTATTTTCAATGTGAGGTAAAATTGACTGTTCTTCCTCTCTCTGATCAACAAATAAGCCATTTCCTGTTTGCAAAGGACTGGACTGAGATTTCAAGAAGGTATACGGTGGTCCCTGCCTTCAGTCAGTTTACAACAGAACTGCTGGAGGATGGCGAGGTTCTACACAGCACCTGCCAAGCAACGGATGATGGCATCCATGTCAGCATTAGCATGGGCAAAGAGACACTTCCATGGAGACTCCTGGGTATCTATAAGGTATATAATCTTAAAGCTATCCATGATATGAGAAGGAAAATGAACAAGCCAACACAGAAAGAAGGTGGTGAATTATTCCTAATTGGGACAAAATGAAATGAATAAGCTTAAGGAAGGGGGCTAAGGACAATTTATATGTGAAGAAAAGGGCTGCCTGATAAGCAGTTAGTGGAAATGTGAGCAATGAAAAATAGAGGAGTGGTCATCTGAAAGAAGGGAAGGTAGTACACATGCCTAGTGGTTGCAGATCTGTGATACAAACAAACATTACTGCATTAGAAACTGAATGGGGCTTTAGAAAACGCAGATACGCATACACAATCGAATCCTAAGTACTTTGTGCATAGTGGTGGCTCACTAAATAACTCCTGAACTCATGAATTACTGTAAGGTAATGGTCATTTTTCCAACCCAGGAGGACTTCCGCTTTCTTCCATAACAATAATAAAGGTAACTACCGTATCTGTAATAGCAAGCATTGGGCTAGGCTTTATGTGTACATACTTTCCCTAAGACGCACAATCCCCTGAAAGGTAGATAACATATCACCGACTTGGAAATATGGAAAGTAGAAGGTGGAAGATGTTAGTAACTCCCTGACAGGTGGCAGAGAGCAGCACAGCTCCATTCAAACCCAGACCAGCTGGCAACACAACCAGTGTCTCCTACCTGCAGACTGCCCCCCTACGGTGTACCATCTGAAACAGTTCCTGTGGTCACAGAGAACCCTCCTGATGCTTTAGGTATTCACTGACTTGCCTTATCTTTTTTCCTACTTGATTTGATCCTCCTTAAGGGACTGTGACTTAAGGTTGTCCTCACATGCCTGTCACATATTAAGTGTTCATAAACATTCACTAAATACATGAAAAATTAAAAAATAAAGCTTTACCTAGTTCAGTATTTCTAAAATTCAGTGCCATTCTATACTTAAAGGTTTC